TTCAATTTAAGCCGAATATAAGTCACCAGGCCTACAAAACATTTCTACAGCTCTACGACGATATTGTATGTGTGTGCACGTCGGCGCCTCCTATTAATGCTAATTAACGCGTGCACAGGCAGCGCCCTTTGCGTGGCCTTGCGAACCGCAGCTAAAAATGAGAGCAAAATGAAATGTAAGCGGTGCTTTTAAGTACGATGTGTAGTCCGCATACAGTAAGTACAACACATAAAGTTTGTTTTAGCCAATGGGGGCCGCCTTCGCTGCGCTCGGCAGCTTTTTAGCGAATCGACGCCGCCTTTGCTGCGCTCGGCAGCCAGTAGAACGCGCGTATTTGTGTTACATTAATTAACCCTAGCCGCGGGCGGACGTACGGACGGACAGACACCAGACTCCACTAGAGAGGTAAGACTAGCCGTTCGCCGCCGCTACGCGGCGGAGGTGGCAGGTTTTAGTCCAAGGGGAAATGGGCTCCCGCCATCGCTACGCTCCGGCGTAAACATAATTTATGTAAACGTGATGTATTAAATGCATATGAAATTGAACATTCCTACTCTCAACCAAAGATCTGCCTGTAGACAATGTTCTGGGCGTAGACCCCATCCTCCTCCTCCAGCTTTGGGTACTCGACCAGCGCCTTGAATCTTGATCTTGAAGTAACTCGCGACATCGCAACGTACAGCAGCCCGTGGGAGAAACAAGGCGTAGCAAGATACAGCCCCAAGTACTGCACCGTTTGGCCTTGCGCCTTGTTAATCGTCATCGCAAAGGCCGGTTGGACAGGAAACTGCTTGCGTCTCAAATGAAACGGAAAGCTCCGAATGTCTACGTCACTGATGAAAACAATGCGGGGAATCAACACATGTTGCCCTTGTCGCTCACCGGTCATGATTGTGGCGTGGATGACATGTGGCTTGAGGGCCACAATTCGAAGCCGTGTTCCGTTACACAGCCCTAGATCTGGATTCAGGTTCCGCATCATCATGATAGGCATTCCTACCTTGAGGGTCAATTTGTGGGGAGGCATTCCACTGATATTCATCGAGTGGAGTACCTCCTGCTCGAAGAAATTGCCGTCACCGTCGTCTTGTACAGAGTCGGAAGACATGTATTCCCGCGCCTGTCCAGTTAATCGATCGGTCACCGCTTCATTGATGCGGTGCACGATTGCGTTCGTGGTCGTGAGGATCGTACGGTTAGCGAAATACTTATTGGTAGCAACCTCGGGGTTGTTAATCTCGCCATACATCTCGTCGATGATCCGATCCATGCCTCTTGGAATAACGCCAGGACGGATTTCCTGGTCCCCATCTTCAGGCACAGGTTGATTCTCAATCAGCATATCGCGCGGGATCTTCATGTAATTGTTTTCTAGGGAAGGGTTTACATCATGCCTTCCCTCCCCAACTTGCAGCAGGAATCCGGAGAACGCAGCCATTTCCTCAGCAGTGTCTGCAGTATCAGCTGTGCGCACTCGCATGTTTTCCGTAAGACGGAACGTCTGAAATTGGGGCCACAGCCTAGACGACTTGAGGCAAGCGTCAATTGTCTCGACGGGTGTTCCATTCTTAACGACCGGGAGAATCTGGCGGAAATCTCCCGAAAGTACAAACACTTTCCCCCAAAAAGGCTCGGTATCGTTGTCAAGTATGTCCCGCAGCGTTCTGTCTACTGCCTCGAATGCGTGGCGATGGGTCATAGGTGCTTCGTCCCAAATAATTAAACTTGCATGCTTGATCAACTCCTGAATATGGGAGTTCTTCCTGATACCGCATGTCGAGCTCTCGTTCAATTTCAAAGAGATCTTGAATGTAGAATGAGCTGTCCTACCATTCATGAGCAAGAGCGAGGCAATACCGCTAGACGCCACAGCGATGGCGATTTTCCCCGAGAGTCTGA